CTTTCCAGAGTATTCTCCACCCCCCCCCCCACCTCAGGACTTGATTTAGGGAAAGCCACCAACCAATCTTCCTCACTTTCCTCTCCACTATTTTCCTGAATTCCATAAACTCTAAGCTGCAATACCCAAGATGCCACAATAGTCATCATGTATATTCACTCAAGTCCAGAGTTAAAGTTTGGTCCACTTTAACCAAAATAAAATTATTTCCTTGGATTATGGCACTTGAAACAGCCAATTTACGATAAAGGGGTGACATACTGTTATCTCATGCATTTTTCAATAAATAAAACCCCATAAACAGATAAGTCCCTTACTTCCTCTGGGCCTTGATCTTCTTTGTTTGTTTGTTTGTTTGTTTGTTTGTTTGTTGAGACAGGGTTTCTCTGTATTGCTTTGGATCCTGTCCTAGAACTAGCTCTGTAGACCAGGCTGGCCTCGAACTCACTGAGATCTGCCTGCCTCTGCCTCCAGAGTGCTGGGATTAAAGGCATGTGCCACCACCACCTGGCTTCCTTGGTCTTCTTGAGCATAAGTTTCACTGAGATAATGCATATGAAAACCACCCAACACAGAGAAAAACATCATAGCACAAAATAAGAACAACCACCACAAACCATTACTTTTCTGTTTGTTTCTGACTAAAGCAAAAAAAGGATAAATGCCAAAAAGAGTAAAAAACATAAGTAGGTCCTTGAAAATGAAGGGTTATTCCAGGGCCAGGGATGTAGGAGGATTCAGCCCACCTAGTCCAATATATTTGTCTTGCTCTACAAGTCCCCATGGTGACCACCCAATCCTATCTTCCAGAAACTTAATGCTATAATCTACTTGTTCTTCTGAAAATCTCAGCAACAGATCTCCCTTCCTAGTTGATGTTTTTCATTCTAATCAATAATTAGAATGAAAATATTGAAGAAAACTGAGATTGCCTTCATTTCCTTCACTGGGTGACTTTATAAAAGGACAAATGGACCAGTCGTGCTTGAGCTTTGATATCCAAGTCAACAAGGTTTAATAGAGAAAAAGTTCAGATTTATAATCACATAGCCAAAAGTAACCCTAGAAACCATCCCATCTAAGAGATATAAACCTCCCCAGGACTACACAGTTATTTGTGGAAGAGCTAGTCCTTGAACTCAACCTTCAACTCCCAGGATCTTTCCATCCACCAAGTTCCCGTACTAAGACAGCTATCATTAGACCAAGCATTAAGTACTTGTAGTAAAGCTCCTAGTACATAGTTGCATGGTAGTACCAATACTGAGACTTCTGCAAATCATCCACTCAGCAAATTCATCTGTCTGATAAGGGTTCTAAAGCAGCCACCTTCTTCTAATCCATTGAGAAGCATCTAGGCTGGGGATGGTGAGCACGGGGACCACTCTGATAAAGTAGTGGGGGAAAGTTTTATATAAACAATGTCACTTCCGTGGGAGAAGGCAGAACTGGGCTTTGAAGAGTGTAGGATGTAAAAGAAGATGATGAAAGTTGAGGTATCAGCAATCTCTCAAAGAGAGTCTTCCCTTCCTAGAATTAATAACCCTCTACAATCTCCATATTCACTGTCTTTCCATAGTCATCAGAGAGCAAAGTGGCCTGGAGAACAGCCATGCCTCAATACCTCCCTATGGCCTCCAGGTAGGTTAGGAGGATTTCTGAAGCACCTTACACGGCTTAGGGAAGATTTCTCTTACTGCTTTTACACAGTGCTAGTACTGTTGTCCATAGTCATAGAGACACCACAGCTGGTGTCTCTGCCTCCAGACTGGGCTCCATGCAGGCAGAGGCTTCATCTTACTCATTTTTATTAATCCCAGCACAACGCCTAGGACATGGCAGTAACTCACTGACTGCATGAAAAAAAGTCTCAATTCAATCATTACCAATTCAGGAACTTCAGTTCAGAGTCAGTTTGGGTTGGAATCCCCTGGTTTGGGTTGACTATGCCTATTCCATATGCCATAGCACTAGAGTAGCACTTACAGAACCATCAACCATCCTAACAAATTACCTGAGTGCTTGCCTGAATCACCAACTAGATTGACCCTTCTCTGAGGGTAAGAATTGTCTCTTACCATCCCACTTAGACATCACAAGAATTGAGCACATGCCTTCAGATGGGTTAAGTGAATGAAAGAGGGACAACGGAAACTTGATGGGGCGCCTCCATTGCAGAGACACTCTAGAGTCTCCAGGAAAACCTATAGCTAGCTCATGCATTGAAGTCTTTCAGAGTAGAATCACAGGCATTTCTCGCAGCTTCTGCTGCCAGGGAAGACAAACAAACATCACCCATATTGGGGAACAAAGACTGAATGAGCCCTCCTTCAAGTCTCTTGCTAGGTGGCACCTGTTGCTAAAATAGCAGCTGGTAAGCATTTTGTTTTGTTCAAAACAACAACAACAAAACCAATCTATTGCAGAAAGGAGCACCACAATGACAATGAGAAATCATGAGGCTAAATATACAGCAGGAAGTACAGAATTTTAGCAATGAAAGAGAAGGAAGGAGCTGTTACAGCCTCAGGAAAGGAACCGAAGTGTTGATTAGAAATTGCTCAGCCTGCCTTAAAGGAAACCAGGGGTGTAGAATGGTGGAAAGAGAGGGGGGAGAGAGAGAGAGAGCATGGGAGAGGGGGAGGGGAGGGCGGGAGAGAATGAATGTGGTTTGTTCTTGGCTCTCTGTCTCATTTTTAATCTGGTTCTCTCCCCCCCCCCCCCGCCTCTCCCTTTTCACCATGTCTCAAGAGAGAATCCATTGATTGGGCTGGACCGGAATTTCTTACCTTTCCTTGTTTGGTTCCTGTGTGAGGAATGAGTCTAAATTCCTCTCAGCCTGCTCCTCTCCTCAGGCACCCTCTCTGGCAGCCATTGTTAGCTTCTCACATTTTGCAGGGGCTGAGAGGCGCCTTGTCCATCAGCACCTCTGACAACAGGGAAGGGTTAGGGCTCGTGGGATGTCAGGGGGAAGTCAATGGCATCACAGGAAGCAGCCTCATCCCCCCTACCATCTGACAGCTGAGATACCCTGCTAAGTAACCTGTTGCCTGTTTCCGGGCACAAACAGCTCTGCAGGTGCAGACAGCAGAAGGTACAGACAATGCAGCACCTCCCTCCAAACAAAAATAAAGCAACAGAGCCCCCCACGAGAAACCCAGTGAAGCAGGTGGACCTGGGGCAAATAAAACTGGCTAGGGGCGGGGCAGGACTGGCATCCAACCCCAGCCACAAATATGTGCATCTTTTCTCTGGACCTCTATCTCTATGAACCAGGGGGCTGAACTAGAGTTCCTGTGGTCCTTCCACCAATGGGATTCCATTTCATAAGAAACTGTTAGCCATCTAGAGAGACCATATGTTCTTCTCCCACTCTCTGTGAGTCCCCAGAGCACATCTTCTCTTGGGCAGACCCAGTAAGGAGCAGGGCCCAGAAAAGCACCTCTGACTCATGGCCCCTCCTAAGGTGCCTGGCTGACTTCAGAAAAGCCCAATGAGACAGGCTTCAGGCCTAAGTTCCCCCTTGAAGATGGCACTGAACAATAGCAACAACTCTGAGAGCTAGAGTCTGTGAGGGTGGCACGGGGAGACCAGGGGAGGGGAAGCACGGATCAGCCAAACCCTGGAATTAGATGATTCATATCTGAATAACGTGGGAGGGATGAACTCAGAGCAGCCAAGATAAGAGGCTAACTCTGCAGAGGGTGCTCCCCCACCTCATCCCAGCTGGGGGCAGGAATAGTGTCAGGGCCTATCATCTGCAATAGGAAAAGAACTCAGACAAATGGATAATTTCATTCTGAAGCTAAAGACGACAGAAGCATTTGCCCTTCTTCCTCCATAATGTATTTTCTCCTGTTTCTGTAATTTGCTTTGGTTGTTTTAAGCTGGTTCACACTCCTGGTGTCTTGATTCTTGAGCCACCCCCTCACACCCCCTCCCTGCCCCCACAACCTAGTGGACGCCCTAAAGGATACAAACTTTTTTTCTTCTTGCTGCTATTTGCTCTTTTCTCTTCCGCCCACCACTGTCCCCATCCTGTCCGTGTGACCTTTTGACACTTTGTTGTGTTTCCTTGACTATCTCTGGTTGCCTCCGACCCACCCCAAGCCACCCAAACCATCCTGGCTCTGTTCCATCTAACCTCCAGCAGCGCTGCTCTGGAAATCTGAGGTAGCCATCCCATGGCCACCTTGTTCCTTAGCCCAGAGTTAACACATTGGGCAAAGTGTTACAAACAAGGGCCTCTCCCAGCACCAGAAGACAGGAAGAAAGTTCACCAAGGGGGTTAGGAGTGCACCAGAGGTGCCAGCGAAGTTCAGTGCCTCTGAACCTCCATAGGAATTAACCCTACTGGGGGGGAGGGGAGTTGATCTACTATCTTCTCCACAATGGTTCCAGTGAGACTGATCAGTCAGGTCTTAAATTCCAGGACCAATCAAGCCTGTTTTCATCTTCCCAAACTCCTTTGCCTATGGCCACAGAATCACAGAGAATGCCCCTGGGTCTCCCTCCTTCTCTAGGGAAGTAGCTACCTGCGCCTCTAGAAAATGAGTCCTCTTCATGAATCAGCCCCTTCAGAGCTTTCCCCAGGCATTGCCCAGGACTCGTAGCCTTTACAAACTCAGGGAAAAAGAAAGGAAGAACCATTGTCTGGAGGGGAAATGTACATCCTAAGAACAACCTCACAGCGCTAGTGAGCCTAACACCTGCATCTCCATCCAGCTCCTTTGCAATCTGGCTTCTCCCGTCTCCCTCACCAACCAACCAACCACACAACCACAGACACACAGACACACAGACACACACACAGAGAGAGAGGGGGGGGGGCACATGCGCGCGCGCGCACACACACACACACACACACACACACACACACACACACACCAGCAGCAGCAGCTTTAACATGGTCAAAAAGGAGGAAAATGAAGGTAGAGTGGAACACCACCACTGTGGGAATACATGTAAAGTTACCCGTCGCCATGGCAAACGACTCTTACCTGTTAACCAGAAAACAGCGGTCCACCCCAACACGACCCTGTCCATCTTGTCCATCTTCCCCAACTTCCCATCCAGATGGGGAGTGGGGAAAGTCCGCAGCGGCTGGCACGCGAGGATCCAAATGACCTCGCGGCAGCAGGCGGCGGCGGGGCGCTGGCCCCGCGCGTCCCTGGCGCCGCAGCCCTCGGGGCTGGCCGCGCAGCCCGGCCCGGGCGCTGGACGCCGCCGCCTGCGAGACGCGCGCTGCCGCCCGCTCCAGAGTCCGCTTGGGATGCGGGGGCTGTTCCCGCACGCACAGGCAGCGCTGCGCGGGGCGAGCGCCTCCCCGCAGCAGAGCTCGCCGCGCGGGGGAGCTCGGCAGCCGCGCCGCCGCCCGCCAAAGTTTCTCGGTCACGTGCCGCCTCTCGGGGGCTGGGAGGTCAGAGCTCAGAAGTCCACCCAGGAGCTGTGGACCATGTTGCAGGGGCTGCCGTCCGCGCTCTATCCAGACCACTACTCTTGTCTCTAGATACCATTTGAACCTGAACTGGGTGACAGGGACAGAGAGACTGGCATAACTTTTCATGGGGCTTAGACTAGCAGCTCCTTAAAACAAAACAATGTGGGTTTTTTTTTTTGTTTGTTTGTTTGTTTGCTTGTTTTGTTTTGTTTTTTGTTTTTGCTATGCCTGGCCAGTGGATCTGGTTCAAAGAACCAAGAAGCAAGGCCCCAGACAAATGGGAATCCACAGGGGACAAATCCACTATGCAACACTTTTCTGTAGTGTGGTGTGGTTTAAGGCCTTTTTAATGGAAAAATAAGTAAAAAACAAGACTGAAATGGCCTATACCTATACATTCGCCAATTTCAGAGCACATTTATATGGGTTGTGCCTACTTTTTAAATGGAGTTATCTCCTGTTTGTTGGAAAGGAGTCGTAATATGTTGAAAGATGAGGGCTAGGTGCTAAGAACTAAGGTCACAGGATATAAGTAATAGTATCACCTTCCTGTCCTTGAGGAGCCTGATCTTGGGCCCAGGAGAGGAAGAAGGCCAGATTATTAGGGGCATTATGCATATGCATTGTAAAAATTTGGCCAATGTCATCTTGGGAGACATAGGGAAAGGGCCTGGTGGACAGAGAAAAGAGCAAGTTAGTCATGGGGTGGGGCTGAGGACCACGATAAAAGATATGTCTGTGTTAGCACTTAAAAGATGGGGCTGTTCAGGGTTGGTGGTGGTAAAGAACCAGGCAACCATATTCTGGCTAGAGGAAGGGAGAAAAAGCTCTGAATGACCTAAAATAGCCCTGAATTCCTGAAGTGGAAAAACCTTTACCCTAAGAATAGATAAACGTGAAAGCAGGGGTGATGTGTGCCAGGACACATGGAGGTGGTGGCAATCTTTCACCACAACTTGCCCTCTGAGTTCTTCTTGGCATATCTGAATGGCTCCAAACACAGACAGTCTAAGCACCTCCTGACCACCAAAGCTGGAGTGTAGTAGAGGTGACCTCCACCTCAGTTTCCTGAATGTGGATTAGGAAGTATAAAAAGCAGGGACACTGGAGAATCGGTTTTGCCACCAGGGAACGGCAGCAGCTGTCCAGAGACTGTGGGGGTCAGGGGGCCACACTGCTCAGGATCGAGATCTGAGCTACAGCCTGGAACAGCCTCCCCAGGTTCCAACTTGTTTCCCGCATCTGGCTCTTCAGGAATCTTAGACACTCTCTACATTTTCAGAAATGGTCATTTTTTTAAAATTTGGCCTGGATTATTTCTAATTTATGCCATCAAGAACCCTGAATAAGCAACTCTATGAGAGAAATTAAAAACTATTCCCTTTAACACCCAGATTAACACCCAGAAAATTAACAATAAAGGTGGTGTGTAACTTCTGTAGACTGCTTATTAGAGTCTAAGCATGATTATAAATGTTTTTACAAGATTCCTCATTTAATCCTAAAGAGGAAACTTGGGCATAAAAATCTTAACTAGCACCTTTATGATCAAGTAGCCAGTAAATGGTAGAGCTAGAATTTGACCTTGTCTTCTGACTCCAAAATGTATGCTTTCCACTACAAAAAAAAAAGTCTACATCAAAGGGTTGAAATAGCAATGTATTTGTATTATGTTCTGCAATTTACTGCATGTTTATATATGTACATACAATGTCTGCTGAGCATTTCATGCAAAACTTAGACATCTGAACAAGTTTATACAGAGGGGGAATATGGGAGATGGACTGAATTGAAAAGTGAATGCTCACAGATGTGAACTTCAAATATGTGCTTGGAGTATGTCCCTATATGTGTGTCAACAGGAATCAGGAGTCTTGCAGAAGAGCTATATCATAGCAAATCATAGAATGCAGTTACTCTATCATCCTAGGAACTATTTTCAGTGTATGATATTGTATGTTTACTTTACAACTAAAGAGATACAGTAACCTATCCCAAATGTTCCTGAGTGGGTGGGATGCCAAGCTACATTCTAAACTAAACTATGTGCCCCTCCCAAATGCACATCGTTATCAAGGTGACAAATGGTTAATATGAGAACACTAAGGCTACCCCTAGTGATACAAAACATACAACTTGGGCAGGGTACCACCTGTGCTGTAGCCAGAGAAGCTGTCAGGCCCTGGTGGTGTTCGGCCTTTGGAGCTCTGTCCAGCGTGAATGCTGAGGACAGGAAAGTTTGATGCCACAACACTGAAGTTCTTTGTTTGGAGTACATGTTATGAACCCTTTGTGGAGCATGTCTGCAAGCTCTGTGCACAAAGGAACTGAAGGTGAAGAGAAGATGTTAGCAGGAGATGTGAAAAACAGTCCTCCATGAACTGTACCAAAAAAGCAGCTGCCATCTATCCCCAAAAGTGCTTTGCCCAGAAAAAAAGGCTACATTTCCAGTCCCAGAGGCACAGTCAACAAATGGCACCCATGCTTCTTATAGACCCTTCAACCTGGAATATTCACTACTTGCAGAATTTACATTGGTAGTGAAGCAGAAGCTACCAGGTGTCTACGTACAGCCATCGTATTGCTGTGTGCATTAGTGTGGTTTGGTGTGATATTCATATGATATGGGCTATATCAGGATGGCGTGTTGAAGTTTATGGTCTATATTCACAATAACTATCCAGATGGCAACTGTCCACGCTTGCTGTTTGACACTCCCGTCTTTCACCCACTAATTAATTCCACTTGAGGTGAAATGGATGTGAAGAGGGCATTTGCAAAGAGGAGGCAGAACCATAATCATATGTGACAGGTCTTAATGTACACAAGAAGAGTCTTTTACAAGATCAACACAATAAGACCCCTAAACCCAGAGGCTGCGGTACTGTATGAAAAAGACATTAAGCTTTTTAAGAGTAAAATGGTTGACAGAGTTAAAGTATGTACTGCTCGTTTGTTTGACCAAATGGAAATAGAAGACCCCTATGCAATTAGCTTTTCTCCATAGAACCCTTCTGTACATGATGAGGCCAGAGAGAAGATGCTGACTCAGAAAAAGCCTGATGAACAGCACAATAAAAGTGTTCATGTTGCTGGCCTGTCATGGGTAAAGCCTGGCTCAGTACAACCTTTCAATAAAGAAGAGAAAACAGTAGCAACCTAAGAGATGGTGGATCTGGTGCACCATGCACTTTCCTGCTGGACTCTGGCCTAGTTAAAGCTGACTAATGGCAAAGGACTGCCTGAAGAGTAAATTGAGGACAGTGACTGGCTATCGGTGTTATGCATGCATAGGTTCTAGCGGCAGGTTGTGGAGACCTCTTATTAAGTAATGTGTTACTTCTGTCAGGAGTGTCAAGGTGGATCTAGTTCAGTACTCCAAATTATTGGGGACTTTGAGACTTAAGTATTTTTCTGAATATGTTAGAGGTAAGTTGTGTTTACTTTAACAGAGCAGGGAGAAATGAGCACTGTGTAGTCGCTCAAAGTTGTGGTTTCAGCTGCACATATGGTAGATCATGAAGAAGGGTATAGAGATGAGATTCCAGAGTGCAGCACTTTCAAGTAGAAGCCTGGCTTTCTGGCTTCAGCCTGCTGACTTGCTGTAAACGTCTATCTCAAAAGCATTAGGAAAGTAGGCAGAACCAGGATGCTTTTTCAGAGGGTTTTTTTTTAAAGCAAATCACTGTATTTTTATGGCAGGAGGAAGAAAAAAGTGTTCGAATGTTTTTTTAATGACATCAGGTATTTAAATGGTGAATGACCAATGTGTTAGTAGAGATGAAATAAGCCAATAAATGAGTGATTGTCATTTATGCAGAAAAAACATGCAACCTAAAAGAGCCAGAAGGATGCTGGGACAATGGCATTATTTTTGTCATATTAATGATGGATAATAAAATACAGGACACCCAGAATCTCAATTAAAAATAATAAAATCAAAATGAATGTGCAGCCTGGAAATCTGCATTTTAACTGCCTTCCTTTCAATAAACTTCCTTTCAATAAACTTTAGTTTATGAGAAAGAATACTTTTTCTTTTCCTAGAGAGCCTGTTCAGTTAGTATTTGCAAATGACCCCATGATGTGACTAAGTTTCCATTGTCCATTTGTATTAGCCAAGCAGAGCAACAAAAGGAGAGGCTTGATCCCCAATAAGTCACACTTCCTCCTACAATGAGCCCAACTTGTCAGAACAAGCATCTTCGTTGGACCGGAGTCTCAGAAAGTCATGGCTAGGGTTGCATTTGGTGAGGAGAGAGAATGGACGGTCTACTTTCTTCAAAGCTGCATACTTTAGAACAGAAATCAGGACACAGAGAATAGAGACGTGAGCAACCACAAGGAGACACGCTGAGAGCTGGGAGCTGGGAGCAACACATAGTTATAAATATAATGCAGCTGAATCCTCTTTAAAACATGATTTCATTGCAGACACAGAGGCATGCATGCACATGAATCCTGCTTAACATGGTCTTTTTAAAGCACACAGATAAAAATCGTATTTCTGCTTCTTTTTGCTCTTTGTTCCAGGAGGAATAGATGAGGTAGGACTTTAAAGCAAGTATCACATATTTTAAAAAACCTAAGTTTGGTTTGCTCTTTTTTTTTTTTTTTTTTTGTCCTACCTACTGTGTTTGTTATCCTCCCCAACCTCAGACAGTAAAACTCACCCTTGGTGATTCTGAGTTTAAAAACAAAACAAAAAAACCTAAACCAAGGACTCTACTGGAAATGGAAACATTTTCCATCTGGAAACTCTCTTGTAAATCATTTCACTTTTTAAGCTTTAAAGACTAGCAAAGTGAATATAAAGTTCATGATGCCCTGAATGCCAACTGCCAAGAGCAGTGGTAAGTATCCCATAAGCAAAAGACTGGGAGAACACGCTATAGTATTTATGCTATCTCAGACTCCCAATTTGGATAGTGTAGGATGCTGAATTAAGTAG